CTTCGGCAATTATGATATAACTAACTAAGAATGTCACGAATGTGGCTTGGCATGGAAAAGGTTTTCACGTGACACATGGTTATGAGTCACAGGTATGTTGTTGTTTTGCGCATATAATGCATTCGGGTTATATGATTTGTTATGGGTGGGATTTGTGATACTTTCGCACATGGCTCAAGTTTGAGTCATGGGACGTGCGCTTGGCGAGTATGCCTTGCGAGTGTGCCTTGTAGGTAAGCCTTGCGCATATGATTTATGTTTCGCACATGACCTCATTATGAGGTCATGAGTTTTGCACATATGACTCAGTCGAGTCATATGACTTATTTATTGCGTTATGATTCGTTTATGAGTTTTTGTACATGACCTCGCTATGAGGTTATGGGTTTTGAGCATGTGATCACTTTGGTCACATGACTAAGTTTGTTATGATTTGGTTTCACACATGTGACCACTTTAGGTCACATGACTACGAGTGGGAAGAATACTATATAAGGAGGCCGAGGCGGCCAAGGAAGATAGGTTCTTCACACTTTGTTCTAAGTACTTTTCCTACTTATTACTTTAACAAATATAAAACATCTTTACGATCTTGATCTTTACTGCACCGTTATTGTTACGCCAAGAAAAGTCCTTCATGAAGACGAGTTAGAGAAAGCTTACAATAGGCGTTCCCGATAGAAGACAAAGGTCTTGTACTATTGGTAACATAGGCAGAGGCCTAGAGCTATCAGAAAACAAAGAAAGAAGAAGACAGAGAGAGAAGTATCGTTTCCCGTCGCCAAGAACTAACTATCCAGAGAGGGATCGTTACAAAGAACCATACTGTTCCCAATAGTAATTATCTGATCATTTGAGTCTTTAAACTTATGGCCTAGTTCTCAAGTTGAACTGAGTTGGCCCCTATTGTCTCTGTCTTTGATGAAATGATTAGTTTCATCTGTGGGTTGTATATGCAAAGGTAGTCATAATTATAACCTTTCTAGAACAACTAACTTCAAATTTTCATAACTCCTTAACCAATCAATATCTATCTTCTGGAGGATTTCCTTCTAATTCGCAGGAAGCTATTCCACCAGATTGACAAATAATCCCTCTGTCGGCAACCCTTGATTACTCTGGGTAACAGAGTTTCAATCACTGTTGTAGTATTGAGAGTCACTCACGCAGCTACAATGTGTTCTGAAACCTAGTTGTAACACTCTGTAAAGTCTGTTGGCTTCTATGGTAGTGTCCCTTAGAGTTCTACACTCTTCTGATTATTGTAGAGTAGATGTGAATGTATTGGTCTCTCATTGAGATCCTTTATTATTTAGTACAATCTCTTCATGCGAAAATGTCCCATTACCTATGACCTATGCCAAAGACATTACATCTTTGAAGCCTACTAACTCTCTGAGTAATTAGCAGATTCACTCCTTTCTACTTCATGTACCTAGCCGAAGGTCTCCTCCCATATATCCTGCGAACAGGATCTGGTTGAACAGACAGTGGCGACCTATACTGCATTATTCCGACGCCTTCAATTATGTGTCACTATAGTCACAGGACACAACTGAGATTGATATGTATGATAATATACAGGCCCCGTTAGGAGCTTGAGGAGGGTGTTGGAGGCCATGGATTCTGATTCCGAGTTGGGTTACTCTACTTAGAATGATTCCTAGGTATCAGATTCCTGTATTCCTAACAACTGCCTACTTCGTTGCTGTTTTTTCCCGACTGCAGTTGGGAGGAGTGGGTGCCAATCCTTGATGTGCAAGAGCTCTAACCCTTCTACCTAACCATTTTGTAGGCTTTGTACGTACTGGTGGACCACTTCCTTGTCTTTGATCAGCAATCATTTCTATCGCTTTGTCTTGACTTTCGGTTATCGGTTGAGAGGGTGCTGAATCAAGGTCTATTATTATGAGCTCCTGTTGTACATTTGATTCTTTTGCTAGGAGTTGGGATGGCTCTTAAGCGTATGTGGTTGAACTTTTTTCTTTTTTTCTTTTACTAAAGTTATAGTCAATAAGTCTGTACACACACCCTCCCACACACCTTCACCAAATATTTCAACCGCAACGTAAATCAATCAATTATACAACCAAAACTGAACCTAAAAATACAATGAAAATACAGATAGAGAGCCATTTCCATTGTGTTTAATACTTGGTGTACCATCCCCGATTTTTTCGCACTGCGTAGTAGCGCCTGGGCATTGAATTGATCAAGTGGTCGATCAACTCTTCAGGGACGGCCCACCATGCCGCCTTCAGCGCCGTGATGAAAATCACTCTACTTGGTGCGTTATCTTTGAGGTCTTTCAAGTATCCATGATTCTTTCGAAGAATACTCTTCATGGCTTTCCAGACATGCTCAATCGGGTTTAAATCCGGACTATGTAGAGGGTGTTCGGGGACCCAGATGCCTTGTGATTCAAACCACTCCTTAGTGATCTTTGCAGTGTGAATTTTCACGTTATCTTGCAAAAAGAATTTCCCAGGACCATAATGAGGCAATAAACCATCCTCTAAGACCTGAATATAGGAGCGCGCGCTATATCCATTCTTCGCAGAGTCCCCATCACGTTGCATGACCTGCAATTCTGACCGCCCCCCCTTCCAGTTGGCCCCCCAAACCATAAACGAGAGTGAAGACTTAACATGTTCACTCTTGTTGACAGCCCATTGCTTCCATTTATCCCTTGGAAGTCGAAAAACCCATCTATGGGGAGAATTGGGGGAGTTTTGCACAGAAGATTCGTCACTGTAGATGCCCTAGAAAAGACTTTAGCGAGGATCATCTAAGAAGGAACTGACACTTGTCCGCACCTTCAACAATTCTTGGTCTTTTTCACGATAGTTACGTGCAATACGTAGCCTTTCCTTCACATCTTTCGCCTGCAGTCGAATTCTTTTACACCGTCTCCTTTTGCAGCGTAAATTGGGCACTAGAGCACGACGGATGGTGTTGATGCATACATTAGCACCACTCTCGTCAATGAGGTCGCAAAAGTATATATTCGGGAAACTTCTGACAAGACGAAGTAAAGAGCGAATAATTTGACGATTCAGCTTCTTGTGATGACCCTTCCGAGGCCTAGAACTAAAGTGGTTGAGTTCCTGCGCCCGTTTCACAGTCCGGTAGATTGTCTGCCGAGTACACCGAAATTCCAACACGACAGCGGATGGACTCGAACCCAAACTTATTGCCTCGAAAATACGAGCCCTGTCGTGAGAATTCAATTCTTTCCGCCGTTGCTGGAGAGTTTGCCGATCTCTGCTTATAACTGTACCAAAAACTCGTGAAGAAGGCATTTTTTGATGGTGTTGTGAAGAAAAAAAAAGTATGGGGGTCAGGAGGGAGTGGTGTAAAAATGCGTTGCATGTTAAATTGACTGGGCTGGAGTGGGGTTGGTGTACAGACTTATTGATCATGACTGTAGATGGTGTTTTGGTTGATGAGATGACGTTAGAACAAAAGAATTTTTCAGGTCTCTAAAACTGCAATTTACACTTTGTTCAGGTCTCTCCACCCATCTAGGTGGCCAAGACTTTTCAGTTAACACAAATTAACCTATTTTCCTTCCACCTAGGTTCCCAATCGCAAACTCTCTAGTTCTAATACCCGAGTTCATTACAATCGTTTTTAGACTAATATTCATTATCTGTTCTCGCCTTCTTTCAACTCGCATCAAGACGGGTACAGTGCCGTTCGTAGGTTTTAGCGCTTCTACAAGTCCTGCTCGTGGAGATTTTGCCAAGGATTGCAATCTCCGCTGGGTCCTGGCCAACCTTGTGGTTTGACCAGTTTGGGGTCAACCAAGAGCTGGGTGTGCCTGCATATACTCTAGTAACTTCCCCTTTTCACATTTTTTGCTCTTTTGGGATACTGCCTTGGGATTGCGGTTAGATAGAGAGACACTCGAGGTTTCTTTTTCTCACTCGGTCTATCTCATTCTCCCTTTTCCAATCTTCTTCACGACGGAATGGAAATGGAGGTGCCATAAGTCGCGCCGCTCGGAAAGTGGCTCGTTAGAACCCCGCTGCGACCTTCTACCGCTTGGACCAAACCTTAGCGGTGATGGTAGAACGTGGGATGGGATGGGATGAGGGAGATAGAAGTTTATGCTGCTACTGGTACCTCTCCGTATTGAGAGAATTTTGGATAAACTTTCAGATTCTGACGAATCGTACGGTAAATAAGATTTGTGTTTATTCTCGGATTAGCGATGTCGATGAGCGAGGATACAATGTGCTTGAGAACTAGTACTATACTATTTGGGAATTTGAATTTCCAGAATCTCTTGTTCTTTTGGTTCTCAGTTTTCTGGACCTTAACGCGCGCATTGTTCCCCCTTTTCACTATCCGAACCTGTCCTTCCAAGGCCTTTCTAACCTCCATACCGGTAGCGGACCGGTACCGGAATCGCTGCTGAGCTCCCACTTCAACGGGATAGTGTTAAGGGTCCTAATGCAAATCTTAGCGAGACAGCCTCTAGTCACATACTGTAAGTCACATACTATATGATATGCCCGCCAGTCGTTGTCAACTCTTGTGCTCTGTGGTACCGGTACTCGTACAATACCGTATTGTTGAATTAATGTCACGCTACTAGTACTCGAGTAGTGCTAAGTACCATATTCAACTCTTCCTTGCCCCTTCTCTCCAGCCTGCTTGTCCCACTTGCCCCTAAAGATACATACGCACTTCGGGATCATTCACACATTCGGTGGATGATGCCAAGTGCCTTACCGTCCACCGTGCTCTACTTTACTTCGGGAAAGTACTGTGTGTACTGTTCTCTTCGAAACCCCAGAAGAACCCTAGCACTCTCCAATCTCCTTAATACCTGATGGGCTGTCTCAACTCTAGGCTAGCCATAACAAGACGAGAGATGGGCAAGCACCTTCCCGCTCTTACTTCCTCACTTCTTTTTCCTCCCCACCCTCCCACCCCCTTCTCTTCTCTGTTTTCACCCTCTCTTCTCCCATCTCCCCTTCCCCTTCACTCTCTTGCCACCAGCTTGGGTCCCTAGCCGGAGGCTCTTGAAATTCACCTTCGCTGCTTTTCGGTCAGCGAGCCTCTATCAGTCATTCCTTAACCCTCAATTCAGGTGTTTATCCTCGATCCTGCCTAACCATAGTCATTCATTTATTGCCAACAAAGCTATTATTGTCCATTCACTCGTTAATATATTCTTTGCACTCGTTGTCTATCACGCGTTTGGTTCCATTTCTCATCCTTTGGTCACTTGAGCTGAGAAAAAGGAAGGAAGAGAGACAATTTCCTGTCGGGGGTTTTTTTTTCCCGAATTCGGCGTCATACATGCAACAAAAATACATTGGCAGTGCTAGTTACAATTAATTCGATATCCAACATTGTGGCCCTGTTTTAGTATTTACTGCTTGAAGGGTATTGGGTTGTCTTCAAATAACTTGGAAGGTTGGTATCATTGACCCTGGGGGAACGTTTGCTGCAACGGCGGAGGGATGGAGAGCTGCCGACATCAATTTTGAACGTCAGGGTATGAGTTGTATGCGTTTGCTAACTTGTATTATAGTTTAATCATGCATCCTGGAAGACGCCATGTTCAGATGCGTCGGTCAGCGGCTGTTATACCTATATCAGTGCCATTTAAGAAGGCTCCTACGATAACTCTCAAGGGACGCGCCGATACAACTAGTGACGCTTCTGGATCTACTTCGACGTGTAAAGATGGTGATACTTCCTCTAGATGCGAGAAGCCTGCTGGCGCCACTAACTCCACATTGCCGATCATCCTGGGGTCAATGTAGGTTTTGTTATTTTTGAAATGTCGAGCATGCAAAAAGGTTCTGATAATTGGATTAGGGTTCCCATCTTTATTGCCGTACTGGTGTTGGTGTGGCTACATCGAAGACACACTCAAAAACTAAAGAGAGAAGACGCTATGGATAAGACGAAGAGCATGGATTTTGGATTGGATATTGGACCCGCTAGTAAATATTCTGTCAATGGGGCTACCCCTGGGGGGGAAAAGTCTACAGGGAACGGACGTCGCCAACTCTCTATGGATATTGGTGTTAACTCACCTTATCTACTCCCAGCCGGGATTCACGGTTCGAAAGAAAGTTTGCATTCGCTCGCTAGAAGTGGTGATGATCGTTATGGACGTCCAATGACGGCCGATTCAAGAGGCAGTCCGAGTTCTCCCCTTACTCATGTTTCCTCTCCTTGGTCAGACGCAAATTCACGTCATCTGAATCATAACAATAGCAACAACCACGATCGCGATTCTTCTCACTATGGACCCTCAACCGGACATGATGACAGCCCGGATGGTTCTCAGATGAGCATGACAGCTGAATTGCTAAGTGGAGCCCAACGGATGCCCACCTCGACTCCACCACGATCTACTTCACTTCCAAAAGATTCCCCATCAAATGTTCCCCGTATCACTGTTCCAACCCCGGCGATCATCAGGTCACCTGCGCAAGGCTCATTAGTCAACAATTCTCGTGATAAACGGGATTCCTACGGGAGCGGCGATGACCTCCATCGTAGCCACGTGCACATGGCCAAGCAAGTTGATTATGTTCAGCAGCCGGCACTCGCCAAGGTACCGGATGGACTTGCGGCTTTTCGGGCTGGTCAATCGACTTCAGGTCCATTAACTTTTCCACAGTTTGAAATCACTTCGAACCCGTCACCAGATGGAGAAGGTGTTGGAGCTGCTTCGGATGGACAAACTGAACAAAAGGCGCCACCCACTACTGATGATCAAAGTGATTATGGGGATGGTATCCAATTCAGGCTCACGACTACTTCTGAAAGTGGCCACCCTCAAGCTGCCCCTGTCTCCGGTCCTGAACCTCGCAAGAGTTTAGCACCTGGTGCCTTTGACAACCGGAGACTTTCCATGGGATTCCGTCCGCTTCCTCCAGATGGCAACCCAGATGATACGGCCGAAGAGAGAGCTATGAGGATCAGATCCTTCTACAAGGAATACTTTGAAGATTCTACTCCTGCGCCTCCAATGCCCAATATTCTGGCACCTGAGGACTACCCGGGTTATGGACAAGACTATTACGACGATTCAGCTCCAGTTTATGACCATGATACTGGCCGGTACCAGATTCCCGGCGCCAAACCTTTTGCTGAACCTCCCACACGCCGCGCTATGACTCCTCCTCCTCGCATGCCTCCTCGTTTTAACTCCGGTCCTCAGTCAAGAGCTGGATCTGCTGCTGGTGGGCGGTTTATGCCCCCGGGCCTACGATCTTTCTCTTCAGCCAGTGGTTTTATTCCCAGCGGACGTCCGCCACCGCATAGAAGGCCAATAGCCCCACCCCAGCCATTGAACATTCTCCCAACGCCTCATTTACTGAATGAGGACGCGTTTGCTTCACCAATCATGTTTGCACCTCCATCCAGAGTACCGGGATCTGACAGCGGAGGTACGCGTGGCGGTCGGCGTCCATATTCTCCATCGGTTTCTCCTCACGTGCCACTTGTATCGGCATTTGACGAACTTGCAGTACTCCCAACCCCACATCTTTTGAGAAACTCTTCAACATTCACAGCGCTTGACTTTGCCCCTCCAAGAAAATTCAGGGAGGACGGTGGTATAGGCAGTGATGCGGGCAGCATCAGAAGCAACAAGAGTGGCGTCTCGGCTCTGCAAGTGCAAAATATCAGGAACGGAGCGTACCGTGTATCACGACTTCCTCAGGATGTTGTGCCTGTGAAAGAAGATATGACATCGAATCTTAAGCCAACATGGGTTATGCGACCTTAGCGATCTTGTCTTTAATACTTCGGCAATAGTTCTCTTGTTCTGGTGTAAAGTACGGTTTCTTTTCTGCAGCGTTTTCGGCAATAACGACTTCCAAAATCGAAGCAACACAGGACGACCGACGGGAACATCTCCTTGATTCCTTCTTCTCTCATTTAATGACGTTTGGGGTTTTTGGGCGAATCGAGCACAGTCGGTTGAAAGTTTCAATTGTAACAGCTTGAGCCATTAATGATGGGTGTCATGAAGGCAGAGTCTTGATATAGATGTGAGGGTTTTTATTTCTTTTTTCGGAGGTTTGATTCTGGGTTCTGGTTGCTGGGCATGCTAGCTCATGGGGATTCGTGAGGTTGATATTTCCGGTACACTACGATACGGAATATTAGAGGCACTCATCTGCTTGTTTTTTTGGCCATTCCTTGTATTACTTTAATGTTCCTGGGACGGAACCCTGAGCTATTTCTTTTCTTCTCCATTACAAGGTTTCTCCGGGGCCGCTTCTGATGTGCAATTGGGTGGGAGGATGGGTTGGTCAGTCCGGCTGGCGTGAGCGGGCTCCTTTCTCGCCATCACCGTTTTCGTCATCAAATCCTGGAGGGCCATTGTGTATTATTGGGAGTATATCCTTCCATTCAGGACTAAGATGTCTATATTGACTTGCGTAATTCGTTTCCTCTTCTATATCCTGTTACTTATTTTTAACCCTTGCTAAAATACGCTATTTGCATTTCTTGCCTCTTCCCGCTCTCTTTTATCACTCTATATAATGCTCCATACCCATGAATTCCCTGGTGTTCTTGGAATATATCCCGCTCTTGGCCTACAGTTATTGCCTTCCTTTTTGGGTATCCTTACTTAACTAAGTAGTCATAGTTTTATTTTTACCTTTAAAATTTGCCTGCTTGGGGCGGTCTCCATTTGCCTTACCTTTCTGCCATTTCGTGTATTACAGTCGCATCTCGCTGTCCCGGAGATGTAACGAGACTCCACGAAGTACTATTATAGTTAGCCAAACCTATACCCATACCGGTGTCCAGAGACTACCGGAGTAGGAATGGTGGTAGACCAGAGTCTACCGAGAAGAGGTACTGTTGGTTAGGTACCACAGTCAGACATGCTATGCCATATAAAAAAGTATATAGGTACTAGTAAGGAGTGGTGGTTACCCTACTGGGTAGGGTAACCCATGTACTCAATTTGGGAATTACCCTGAATTGCTCAATGGTGAGTCCAGGTAGAGTTACCCTACCTTCAGACCAGAGTTACTCTGCCATGGAGCCAAGTTACCCTGCCTTGAAAGTAACTTGTTATGCATGTCTTTGGAGGAAGTTTATAGATTAATTATTATGCAAGAATATATAGAAGGTTCGAATCTCATGTTGTACAAATCACTCCTGCACATCCAGTAGAGCTCCAAGCAAGCTATAACTTGGAGGTATGGTGGCTAACACCTCCCTCCAGCCCTGTTATAAGTTCCTAATATCATGGGCTACACCTTGGAGAGTTGTGGTTAGTCTAATAAAAGTCTATAAGTGGAGATACTCCTGTAATACCATATATGCTCACGCCATATGTCTAATCAGAAGCTATCCATAGAAGATATGAGGGGGTGGAAATAACCATGTAGAATGGTATCCAGGTAGTTTCGTGCAAAATGGACTAGAACTGACAGAGTAATACCACTTTCAAGTTAAAAGTAGTAGGTAAGATTACCAGAGACCTATAGGCAAGGTAACTAAAGTCCATTGCCACAAAAGTGTAATAGCATTTATGAATTGTTAAGGACTCTGAGACAATAGTCTGAGGTTACGATGAGACCAGCTTCTAGGAGGGTTGACTGTGGGTAGTACCTCTTGGTAGTCAGCCTTCTAAGGAGTCTAACTGAAAAGCTATGTGGCCATCATTTGGATTGAGATGAAATAGAGTAGAACTGGATAGATGTTCAGGGGCTGTGAATGCCTGTAAAAGACTAAGTGTATATGGATAGAGAGTTCCATAGTTGGTATTGCATCCACTCGGCCATGACAGCTTGCTATTAACATTTCCATTATAAGAACAGTTTTTACTCTTACAGTTGCATTGTAAATGCAGCGACTAAAACACTTCTGTCAGGTGGATATTAGCAAAATACAGAGTAGTCAAGTTCACCATGTAGGATCTTTAGTCTGATCCGTGTCAGTTAGCTAGACAGTCCAAAATAGTTGACTACTTGTGAATGCGGAGTAGTGATAGGGAGTAACTTATAGTATATGAGATCTACAGAAAAATATGAAATGTATTTAAGCATATGTGAGTTCTTCTCTACTCTGGCAATCAACTTCCTCTCAAGATTATGACTTAATTGAGTAAAAGCTATGGCTTAAGGATATTATGTTTTATTGTTTTATTTCTCCTACTCTATTGCTGAGATATTGAGATTATATTATATTTATATCCTGAAGAATCGATTTTGGTACTGTCGTAACCTTGGAATCTCTTTTCACAGAAGAAGCTCCCATTACTACTAGTTCGATATAAATATTAAATTCAAGAGATAATTTGAGGAGATAGAGAATCAAGGTTAAATTAATGGATATTGAAGTAACATATTAAAAGACAATAAATAAAAGTAGAAAGATCAAATTTTAAAGAAAGAAAGATGGTTGATTGCAATTTTAAGCTAACTGATGCTTATAATCTGATATTTTTTTCAAGATTGAAGTTATATTACTTGCTTTATAATAGGTACCTAAGGTGATTCAATTTCAATTTATGCTATTAGGAAAGCAACTAGCATATTAGATAGCATGTATCATACTATATTTAAGATATAAAGAAAAGTTAACAACTGCAATATTATATCATTAATTATACTTTAACAGAAAGAAAAAGCAAGTGAGATAATTAAAATACAACTATAAGAGAATTCTCATAGAAACTCTATTATAGTTACTAATGAAACTTGATTATCTACCAATAAACATGTACTTGTAATGATAACAGATTATCTATCATCATTGAATACACAGTTGATACAGTAATCTTTAGTACTACATAATTAATATTCTCTCACTTGTCCTACTGTTACCAAATTTTCACTTTTTGTTACTCATCTCCACCTACTGAAGGTGCTTAATTTCAAAACAAAACCAGAACTCCGATGTCTTTATTCTTTTTAGCAGTAGTGTTACCTCAGTGTACTTGGTTCTTCAGGGTTTCATATTGACTTAGGAGAGATTGCATTTACTCTTTTTTGAGGTCCATTTTTGAGCCACATTCTATGATTATTCTTAGAGCAATTCACATTTGGAAATTATAGCTCTTTCAAGTAGATGGCAATCAGACATGCCCTAAATTCGCTGAATGCAACATGACTAGGGCTAGAAAGTTATTCTACTTTGGTTACTTAAGCAAACTATGCTCTGAACTGGCTAAATTCTGCTATTCACATTAATTTATCTGGAGGTGTGTCATTACTTTCTATATATATAGTGTCTTGAGTCAGATCTGATCAGCTTGCAACGAAATCCTTGTTCCATCTGAAGACCCACTTTTACATACTTCAGACAGTATTGGTAAGCAGTTGGAAAACCTACAATGATGCTATTATGCTAGGTCAAATCGTTTTGTCCCATTGGTGGTAACTGAACAACATCTTAAATAACCCCATCCTACTAATTAACTACCCCTCAGGAACAATACCTTCTGAAAAGACCAGTCATCTCTTAAACTTTGAGAAAGGACAAATTGTTGCTCTGAGAAAAAAAGAATTCTTTTTTGCAGAAATTGGAAAACTCTTAAACTACTCAAAGAGTAGAGTTCTCAGTTTTCATAAGTACAATCAAAAGAGAAATGATGAGAAAAACCTTCCAATGCCAGGAAGACACAAAATTATAGATAACAGAATATACCACCACCTAGTCAGAGAGTCCAAAAAAGCACACTGCCAAATCCTGTCAGAATCATGCAACAATGTTATCCCATGTGCCTCTCTGAGTACTGTCATGAGTGCTTTAACATCTGTCAATATAAAGTAGTGAAGAGCAATGAAGCAAGCTGTTCTGGAAGATGAGCATGCTATCAAGAAACGTGCTTGGAGTATGGAGCATAAGAATTGAACAAAGGAGGACTTTGAGGGTGTCATCTTTAGTGATAAATACATGATTGAACAGTTCAAAGATTCTAAGGATATTTAGGTATTCAAAATACCAGTGCAAAGTGGTACAAGAACTACATTCATGGGGTTACAAAAGGTCCTGGGATAAAGCTGATGGTATGGGCTTGTATTTGGGCTAACAACAAAGGTCCTCTGATTCCCATTTTTGAGAAGAGTGTAAACAGATTTGTATATATTAGAGTTTTGAAAGATAGTTTAGTTCATAACTGGTGGGAGGTGGAGGACACGGTTGGGGATTCTAATGTTTAGCAAGATGGTGTAAAGATACATACTGCAAAGAATACTATGACTTGGTTTGAGGAAAACAACATACAGGTTACTGAATGGTCACCCAATTGCCCTGATCTCAATCCTATTGAGTACTGTTGGAAGAGGATAAAGAAAAGGCTATACCAACACTTTCCTGATGTTCATAAGACTAAGGGTGGACCAGAAACTGTTAGAAGACATTTAGAAGAAGCTCTTAATGAGGTTTGAACTCATGATATAGAGGGGGACTTTCTGGAAAGGCTGTGGGAGTCTATGCCTAGGAGAGTGGCTGCTGTTTTAGATGCAAAGGGATAGTATGCAAAGTATTGATTTTTTTATTCTATAATTTCACATGAGAATTTTCTTATATCTATTGACTCTCTAACTAAATTTTCACTTCATTCTGGGTAGTAAATTTATAGTGGTGGTGGAGTTGCAGTTGCATCACCGGACGAAACGATTTGACCTGGTACTTTACAATGAGAGAATGTGGTGGTGAAGTATGGTTCCGGGAAAGCATAGTTTACACACCAGAATCGAAGGGTAGATGTAGGAGCGGTTGAGGCAACATGACATCTCAAACGTCTACATCCTATCACTGACGGTATCGTGGAAAAGAAAAAGAAGAAGCACCTTTTTCCATCACCGCCCTCCAATCATAGCTCACGATAACAATCGACGGTATTAATCCATCCATCCATCCCATCCCCCCTCATCGACTGATCATTCCCCCCGATTATCATTACCTCACTCCACCAATGAAATCACATCTGGGACCCCGGTACTCGAGAAGTGGGGAACAGCAAAATAAACTAGAAAAAGAATGTAGTTCCAACATTAGATTACCGGTAGATATCCTCCCCAACTAAAGGTTTGGAAAAGGTATTGATCGAAAACATGCAAGAAAAAGTTGAATCATATTGGGAGGTAACGTAAGATCAGTAGTGACAACCCGCTTGAATGTGAAAAGGCTTGAAAGAACGGCGAGTGACATAAAAGGGTAAATGATGCGAAAATTTGTGCCTTTATAGCGGAAAAATAAATGTTGCAAGAAAATGAGTTACCCCGAGAATGGATGCTAAGGTGGGGTATCCAAGTAAGACGGAAGATTGAGTGTGGTACGAGAAAAGGAACTACAGAGATAGGATACTCCTCGGTGGGTGAAACTGAAAGTATGGAAATCATTCCAACTTTTGGAACACTGAGACCGGACGATACAGGGAAGAACTTGCGTCACGCAGACTGCACCTAAACCTCCCTATCTTCAAAAGTTCTGCGCGATTCCGCTACCAGTATTTCCTTGCTGGGGGAAGTGAGTGTTTGTCGGAGTTTCGATGCGTGTGTTCCTTCTTGCTTGGACATCCCTTATCACTGGCACTTGTGCAGACCCCGCATCATCGGAGTATTGGTGGGGCGGGTGATTAGAGTAGTAGTATCCGTCATCGTATACGGCATCCGCACCATAGTACTGGGCATCGTGGTGTGAGAGGGGCTGGCCCCGATCGGATTTTGTCGAGTGTGTAACGGCAGAATAGTTGGAGGATGCATTAGATATTCCTCGATGGATCCCCTCCGAGTTATCCGCCGTCTGTGGCCCATTCATGGCGCCAATAACACTAGAATCTGCAGTACTAGGAGGATTGCCACGACAGTTAATTAGAGGAGCAAGAGAGTGTCCATCGGTGGAGGGTGTATTGCCTGCAGGAAAATTCGATGCGCTCGGAGATGTAGCGACACCAGCATACCCATCAGGACCTTCTAGTGGTCTATTATATCCTCCCTCAGAAAAACCCATTCCAACGGGCGACAGTGGTTGCTGACTGGTTGCAACGCTAGAACCCATCCCAGATAACTTTCTACCACCGTTCGTTGATCCCCATCCTCTATAACCGGTGGCTTCGCTTTCTGCCATCTCATACTGACCAGGTTCGCCATCAATACCCCGAGCCGCGGCGGCTCCGGCGATGGCACCTCCGTGGGGATTTTGGTTTGGGTTGTAGCCATATTCCTCCACCTCTTTCCTTCGGGCTTCCGCATCAGCCTTGCGCTTTTGTCGTTGCTTCCAAAGAAACAACAATCCAATCGCGATTAACGCGACACCAATTATCGGAACCACAACCGCCACAACAACCCTTGTGGTTCCATTTAGTCCGCCACCACTCCTCCCACCACCCGTGACAGCAGCTGTTGGAGATGTGTCGGAAGCAGAACTCGAACTGGATGTCAATGAGCCTGTAGACGACGGTCGCGAGATCTTTGAGTGTGGCGCTGATGCTGTTGCCGACGGAACTGAGGTAGAGGTTATAACGGTAGTTGTGACCCTCCGTGAGGAGGCAGAGGCTGTAGTGATAATTGTATCTATGTGCGTGGTTGGAGCGAGGGTAGTCTGAGGGGGATTAGGGGGGGGACTGGGACTAGGAGTGGTAGCTGTGAAAGTCAGCCGACTATCAACAATCCAGCGCGAGGGAATAAAGTTCCAGACAGACTAACATACCTGTCGCGTTGCTCATGATTGAGAGATACGAGGCGCGACCGAACCTCTAGAAGAGGAAGGCAACTACAACCAAAGAAGCGAGAGGGAACGAATTACAAGACCATTCAAGACAAATAATTCCGTGATGATTGAAATGCCAAATAAGACGAGAATAGAAGCTAGTGCGTGTGGACTGCGAAAGCCTTGTTATGGGGACGACAATCAAATGCGTCCGATGTTGAAGAATAAAAGAGCGGATAGGGCTGAAATCGACCCAGGGAACAACAAACGGACAGGTGAGGATTCCGTAAGAAACCAAACTCCGTGATGAAAATAAGTGTGAAGGGGGGGTGGCGATTAGAGAAGCGAGAAAACAAACCGGGTGGCGCGAACAGAAAAGGGGGAGGTGAGGAAGATTGGAGAGAATTTGTGGTATGATAACATGGAATGAGGGGGTTGTAAGACCGGTATTGCTCGCCCAAACACATGCACACTCAGGGTCCAAAGGCCCACAGCCCCCGCGTTGCCACTGCGACTACTGAGCAACTATTTCGTTTCCTCCTCTGCTTCTGATTACATCCGCGTTAGCTCACTCGCTGTTCTTATCACTCAAGAGGGATTGGGAAATAGGAGTGGAGGAGAGAGTGAGGAGCACAAGCAAGGCGACAGGCAAAGACCAAGCGAACAATGGGAAAAGGTGAAAGAGATTCGGCGGCTTCGGGACTTCTATGTAAAATGCATATTTGCACAATCTGGAGTAGGAAGAGGGGTAGCGCAATAATTTGTCACAGTAGGCCCGAGGAATTAAGGTACCGTACTCGTAGAGTGCGGTACAGGTAACTGGCAAGAGGAATCGGAACAACACACACGAAGTCCGCTATTCACCTCATTTTTGAAATAACAATAGCGAGATTTTACACAATAAGAGTTGGTAATGAATAAGTAGCACTTGACACTACAACAGTTATCTCACCAGGGAGTCTTTAGGTTGGGTGTAGACCTGAGGGACAACAACCAAGAGTGCAAAAGGAAGTATGAAGGAGGTAGGATCTGGAAAATGAAAGGGAGAAGATGTGGTAGGAAGAGGTGGGGAAAGGGAATTGGAGGATAAGGGAAATTTACAGGATGGGTGGGTGGAAGGTAATAGGAGAAGAATTAATGGAAGAAATTTGGAACAGGGGGAGTAGGGAGGGGTGGAGGTAAATTATTATTGGAGGAATTGTAAGAGGGGGTACTAAGCCTGTTGAGGAAAAAGAAAAAGAGTATGAAAAGTAATAATAAAAACAGAAGAGTGAAAGGAAAAAAGAAAGAGGAAAAGGATGAAGAAGAGAGTGAAGGAAGAAGGAATTAGAGAGGTAGTCATGAAATTAAATGATTGAAAAAATGTATTTAAAAGCGGTTTGGGTAATAGTAATCATATAATTCAAGGAAATAAGAGAAGAGTTGAATTAAGAAATACAAAGAAATGGACTCAAAACAAGTATTAAGTAGAGACAATGTGTATAGACTCATAATCATCTAGGCTAATTGAGATTTGTTTCATAGATGGAGATTTGTCAAGAAAGATTCAAGATATGATCATTTCGTTTATGACTACTAAGAGTAAAATAGAGTAGAATAGAATCATATAAACAATAATATAAAGTTAAGGTCTCTTCACTATTGCTCCATAATATCTAAAAGCCTGGGAGGCATTTCAATATTTATATCTAGCATCTGAGTATTCATGGAATACATCTAACTCAGAAATTATATACATCTCGAATTAAACCCAGAACGTCAGTCCTTTTCCAAAAGTACGAATACCAGGTGACCATGAAAAATATCATATCCTATTTGGCACTTACAGTTTTATTTCTTTGAAAACTTTATTGTTTCCAATTGTAATTTTCTGATCATCAGAGTTTTTGGACTTATGACTTTAGTTCTCCAGTGGAACTCTGTTGGTTCCAATTACCTTTCTGATTGATAAAAGGATCAGTTTTATCTTAAGTCCATGTCTGCAAGAGTATTCATATATGTAATGTTCCTAGGTCACTGACTTGGAACCTTGATAACTCCTGATCTGACTGATAGATTTTTTCTGAATGAGGATAGGTAGATAATCCCTCAGTCTACAACTTCTGGTTGTTCCAGGTCGTTGGTATTCTGCTATTGTATAGTATTGGTAATAATTTTGATAACTACAATATGTTCTATGATCTAGTTATTACACTCTGTGAAGTCTATTAGCTTCTACAATAGTGTTTCCTGGGAGTTCTAAACTCTTCTAATTATTATAGAGTGGATGTGAATGTGTTGGCTTTTTGTATAGATCCTATAACATTCAATATCATACCTTGCTGCAAAACTTCCTGTTACTTACTATATACGCCCAAGAAGTTCTATCTTTGAAGTGTAGTAACTCTCTGAGCAGTTGACAGATTCACTCTATTCCACTTCCCAGAACTTGGAAACGGCCCTTTCTCAAATATTCTGTGAACAGGATCTGGTTGAATCGATGATAGCAATATATATAGTGTTATTCGGATACCTTTAATTTTGTGGCTTTACGGTTACAGAACCTAACTCAGATAGATATATGTGATAATGTGTGGGCTTGGTAAGGGGCCAGAGGTGGGTGTTGTTGATCAGAGATTTCGATTCTGAGCAGGTTTACCCTACTTAGAGTAGTTCCTAGGTATCAGATTCTGATACTCCTCATATGAGCTCCTGTCTCATAGGCTTAGCCTCTAATAGCTTCTTAGGTACAATTTAAATAAAAAAAAATGAAATTTTAAGTAATAATAAAAATAAAACATTAAACATTAATTCCTTCAAGACGTGATAAAGGCAGGGCAAAAAACCTCCCGCAATTCCAAGACCACAGTTGGAAAACCTTTTCCTTGTTATTCTTGCTTTGACCTCTTAGGCATTTCTGGATTATTGTGGTGAAACTTTTGCACCATTTCTCTCATATTATCTATGCCTATTACAGGCTCCCATGTGTTTTCATCTTCGGAACAATCTTTCCATTTCACAAAGTACTCTAGCTTAGGTACCTCTTGATAGTGCCAGTATACTCTCTTTTTGTACAGGTACATTTCGCTACTAAGATTTTTCTATCTTTCTTTGTAAGTCATCCTCAATATCCTTAGAGTCCCTAGGAGGATATAGGCAGTTTGCACATACCGACTCCCTGTAGGATGCTAACTAGGATATGCAGAATCCTTTGTATATATTCTAACTATCAGGAAGGTTCAGCTTGAATGTACAGCTCTCTCATTTTTCTGAGCTCACAAATAACCCATACAATTTAGGTCCTGGTTTTTATGATTTCTGACATGTGTGAATATTTTCTGCATTTAATATTACTTTATTGCCAGCATTGAAGTCTGGTTGTGGCTTGGCCTTTTACTCATAATATTTAGCCATAACATCTTTTGTCTGTTTGTGAGTTTGACATACTTGCTAACAAATAGTTTGTATTAAATTTGGAGAAAGACTGACTTTTAGATTTTGTACTTCATCTTCTTTCTTCAATTCAGTCTATGGATGAAATTGGTAGTTTGAGTAAAATAGAGTCATTCCATGTGTATTGGAGGCTGAGTGATTATAGGCATGTTTGGTTAGGAGTAACTGTTAGTATCAATGATCTCGATTGTAATTGACAAAATTTTGTAAGTAATATTCCAGCACTTAGTTGGTTTGCTCAGTTCGTATATCCCACTGTAGATGGTATGCTCTTGACATCCTTCTTTTTATGTCTATTATTTTATACAGGTACTCTCAGAATTCTCCTGCAAACTTTGAGTCTATGTCTAAAACAATTTCTGATAGTAAGTCATGTAGCTTTCATATTTCTTTTACAAAGGTTGTAGTTATATCTTTTACTGTAGCTGTTCCTTCTAGTCCAACAAAGGGGTTCATTTTTGCAAACCAGTCTACTACTACCATGATTTGGGAACATCCTTGACTTTGTGGTAATTATGAAATGAAGTCTGTAGATATCGATGCCCAAGATGAATAAGGTATTGATAGTAGTTGTAATATAGGGTATTTTACATACCATAGTGATTTATGATGTGGAAAATCATTATATGATCACACAGTATTATTTATCCAATCTGTCAAACCATTCCAATAGAAATCTCACATGATTATTTTAAGGGTTTTTTCTTGTCAGCAATGTCCTGTTATCTTAACTTCATAGCAGCCCTCTGCTATTTTGGTATTAAGGTCAATAAAGTAATTGGTCAGATATGGATCAATCCTTCGTAACAGGTTTGCCCTAGTCTTGTAATGTCTCCAACTCCTCCCTTCTTCTAAGTCATTCTTTATCTCCCAGAATAGTACTGAGCATTTACTCCAGGAATTCAAAATTGAATATCTTTAATTCCTTGCAGTGTAGTATGGCACTGGTCACAAGAGTTCACTCAGCTATTTTAGTGGCATCATACTACAGTTTGTTCTTGTCGATTAATACTTATAATAGGTTGACTACAGGTTCCAAATCGCGGATAGTGCCAGCTCTGATTGCATTGACTGTACCCCCCAATCCTGCTATACATCTGTTGGTATTCTCCAGGCCATCGATTGCCATCATATCTGGGGCATTGATTTTTTCTATGACTCATTGGACGATATAGGAATAGTCCAAATATTACAGTCTACAACTCAATGGTCGAATACTAATACTTTGTGTTTACTCATATAATCCGAATCAATTACACCTGCACCTGTAAAGATTCTATTTTTAACCACTAAGCTGATTCTTGGAGTGATACTTACATAAATTCTGACAGGTAGCCAGATTGCAATACAGGTTCTGACTATCAATTGTCCATGTGCACAAACTAAATCTACTTGCTTTATATAGAGATCATGATTTACTGCTATCCTTTAGCCCTTGTTTAGTAACCTTACTCTAGTATCTAACGGCTGTACTCGAATCACGGAATCAGTGTTGTTTTTGCACTCAGTTTCCCATATATCACTTGTACTAATCTTATTTGCTGAACACTCTGTTTTATGGAAACTCCCACTGGGAACAGAGATCGGCAGGTTAAGAATGTACTGAAATGAATTCTTCTTAGAATAAATCTGCTAAAATCTTAATATTTTAGGAATAGAGTGGAAAAAACAAAGCAGTAAATATTAAGATTGTTAAGTTCTAGCTTGTACTAAATGAAGTCCACATCTTGAGAGGGTGTTGATTGCCAGAGTAGACGAGAACTCGCATATATTTAAGTAGATTTGTATACTGCCAGTTGCTCCCTAACACGACTCTGTGTTCGCAAGTACCAAACTGCCTTGTGCTGTCTAGCCAACCTTCACGGATCAGATTAAAGATTCTCTGTAGTGAACTAGACTACTGTGTGGTATACTAACATCTACTGGACAGAAGTGTTTTAGCTGCTGCATCCACAATAGAACTGCGGGAGTAAAACACT